AATGAAAGGGGAGGTGGCGATAGGTTTTGGTAGGGGTGGGGTCTGTGGTCCCTTTTATTTGAGGGTGAGGGTTGATGAAGAAGATATTTTTTTTATTTTTTATTTTTTTATTTTTTGATTTAAATTTTTAATTATTTTATGGAAAAATATTAAATTACAGTTTTGCATTTTTAAAATTGATTAAAATGTGGTTAAAATTAAATTTTTTGGTCAACTAACGACAAAATGGATGGAAACTATGCTGCTACGATTTGAAATGTTTGATGTGATGGTTGCAACGATTGAAAGTCAGGGTAAAGTGCCGATGTTTGAAATGTTTGGGGCTTCAACTGCAATTAACCCTTAAATTTTAGTTAAGAAGTTTTCCATGTTGATGTTGGAACTTCTACATTCAACACAATCTTTAAGCAAATATAAAGTAGAATATATGTGTTTAAATTCAATTTGCAGGTCAGCTGGGTCCACTTATAGCACTTTCCCAATAAAAATATTTGAAATCTACAGTAAATTGTATCAAAATCTGATAAATTTACTCAAAAAGCAACAACAGAAATAACAATTTCCCAATAAAAGCCAGTCAAGGTTACCTTAGATGGACAAAGATAACAGGAATTAGATATAGATATTTTATTATTATTTAAACTTTCATAAAGTAAAAATAAAGGAGAGAAGGACGTATTATTCTATATATATTTGCCGACATTTTTTCGAAAGTGTTACTGTAGTTTACAATAACTTTATATGCGAATTGTCTTCATTACCCTTCATTGATTTACTTATTTTTACTTTATTGCCCGCACCAAATACCTTTACTTTCTTCAATAGTTGTGGCTGCATTCAACAATATGTAAAGGGTAATATGGACATTTGTAATATTGTCACTGTTGTAGAAAAATTTTAAATTCAATTTGCAGCTTTATATTCTGTCACTGGGGTCCACTTATAGTAACGTTTTGGTAAAAACTAAAAAAATGTCGGCACTCTTCCAATAAAATATTTGTAGTAAATTGTATCAAAATCTAATAAACTTACTCAAAAAGCAGGACAGATGTGTAGCGAAACCGTTAAAATATCTCTGGTTAGAAGAAATATTAATATACTCGATTCATTGTTAACAGTGTTGAAAATATAAGAATTATGTATTATTTGAATACCACTCGATAAAATCGACCATCGAAATGAATTGTCGAAATTATATGATAAATAATGAAATATTAGATCAAGTAAAAGAATAATAAAGATAGTAAATATGACAGATGAATTAAGAGATTTTATTGACTAAAGAATAATGGAGAAGAGAGAGAAAAATACAATGGATCGTATAATTCTAATAATCTATTTTTTCACACTATAAAATTATATAGAAGAGTCTA